ATTTGACACGAGGTATGCAACCTTCAGTCGGTGAGACTGTGTGTCACTGTAGATGCTGTCAGAATTCTGCAGAGTGCTGACAAGACTCAAGCAGGAGTCACAGATGGGACACTTTTGGCTGCTGCTGTTGCTGACATATTAGCCATTACCCATGCCAAGCGTGCAACATGTTATCTAGCATGAGATTTTTGTATTATTTTGTGGAAAAGTTTTTAGGCTTCAATTATCAGTTATTTTGATTGTATGTTAATAAAACATACAAGGGAGAGAGAGTGGTATGTCCTTCCAGAATGCACTTGGAAGTAGGTATGGGAGAGGTAGCTTTTCCACTATTTCTGTTACGTTGTAAATCTGCACAGACAACTGTTGAGATCACTAAGGTTCCTCCAAGCCAGAGCGGCCCAGAACACTGCTGTTCAAGGCCACTGTGGTTAAACCATATTTGCAGTATGAGTTTCTCTAGAAGACATTTTTAAAGAGGAAAATAAAAGAGAACTAGGCAGAATTTGTTTCCGATTTCATGTAAAGTTTATAGAAAGGACCCCAGCATGGAAGGTATAAATGTACAGTGCACTATTTTATGTGCTCTTTTCAGGGTCTTTGAACTGTGCCTGACACTGCACATATGCAGTTTGGATCTGCCATTCAGAGGCCAGGAACTTCATCTGTAGATAGAACAGCTCAGGCAAGAGGCGAGGTGGGAGGACCCGGTGTTCTCAATCTGTCAGTGCTGCTGGTCCCGGTGAAGGAAGGGCAGAGCTTTGCAAGCCGGAAATGCTTTGGCTCAATCAGGATAACTCTTCACCGGTTTACGAAAACTATGTCAAGTGCTGCGTGTTGCACTGAATTAAATAATGAGCTGGGAGAGAGCTTAGAATCTACATGAGAACTTATTGTCTTAAATCTAGGGTCAGGGCAACAGCAGGCCTCCGGTTACAGTCAGGGAGGTCAAGCCCCACCCCCAAAGCAGCTTTGGGGCGCGAAGATCTTTTTATATACTTCTGTTTTGCTTTCAGAATGAACACGTAGGGTGTTACCCATGATCCTTCATTCTCCTGCTCCTGTTGTGTCCCCGTCTCTTTTCCATGGCGAGGGCGAGGCCGATTTTCAAGTGTAGGGGCTCAGCTTTCTTCAAGCAGAGGGAAGATGGCATTTTCCTTCTAAGAAACGACTTTTCTTGAAGTAAGAGTCCCGGAAGAGAAGTCGAGCTGGGTGAGGCAGCTGATGGTAGTTTGCGCGCCTTACTTGTCGAGTATGTTCAAAGCAAAGCCCACGAGTTCAGTGGAGAAGAGGATGGTAAAGGGCAGGCGTGGGTGCTCTTTGTAACTTGGCCACTCCAGTGCCCAGCAGAGCTCGGTTGCCGCGCCACCGTCTTGGTCAGGTTCCTGTGCTCCATCCCTGCTGTGCTGCCCTCTGGGTAACTGGGTGTTGAATTGTAGCATCACATTTCTCAGAAAGGGAAAATAGAAAGAATGTGAGGCTGCTCACATCCAAGAGTGGATGCTGACTCACCCCAGCCAGAGGGCGGCCGTCTGTGTAACAGTGGGTGTCCCTGACAACAGCAGGACAATAAGGGTGTTGTAAGCGGCCTACGGCCATTCGATGATGATGACAGCAATGGAATACAGGATGGCCTACTTGCAGTCAAGGAAAACTATTCGATCAAAAAAACAAGGAGACTGAAAAACATGCACACGCGTGCGCGTGCACACACACATACACAGATGCATGCACACATGCTTGTGGACACATACATACATAAGGCACAAATAGGTACGTGCACATGCAGAATAAACACACACCCACTTTGCAAAGTGAAAAACGCGTCTTTGTGAGCAAGTCTGAAGAATTACGCTTAGTTCTTTTGAGACAAGGGTATGAAAGTCACAAGCTCCCTGGGGTCTGTGCAGAGCTGAGCACAGATCGAGCAGAGCTCTCTCCCGGGAGACTCTTTTGAGAAAGCAGAGCCTAAGAAGGTTTGATTGGCAAATGCTACTCTCATCACAGGAAGTCACCGGGCACTTCTCAAAGTCATTTGTGACTTTGCAGTTTGTGGCTAATCCCCTTGCTTGTCCAGGCCTTTCGGCGTGAGCCTTCCGGGGATTTAAGAATTTTCTTTGCAGGCTTCTGTGCAGAGGCCGTTGTTGGCTTTTCGGCTTTACACTTCCTGCCTCTTTCGTTTCCTTACAGAGCGGTTTACGAGTTATCAGACTAGAGCTGTGTTTGCTGTAGGTGGAGAAGAGGCCTGTGCTGGAAGGACATCCCTGCGTTAGTGGAGGCTGGCTGTCTGCCAGACAGAGCAAGTCACAGTTCTGTGGGCCACGGCTTCAGGGACGCTCACCTGCACTTTGTCCCAGTCACCCTTTCCCCAGTCCAGAGGACACTGGTGCCAGTACAGCCTCCTACCAGCAGGGGGTGTGTTCCCTCTCCACTGTTAGATAGGGCAGACTGGATTCCTCCACTCCTTCTAAGACCTGGAAGCAGGCTGGCCCAAACCTTTGCCCCATCTTTCCTCTGTCATTCCTGTGTTCAGAGCAAAATTTGATGTTGTAAGGGTAAACGAATATAGCTATCTTCCCAAAGGAAACAGGCGTAGGTCAACTAAAGCAAGAGCAATTTCTTACTTAAATCTGAGACGGAAAAGAGGAAGGTGAATGACTTGTCTCTCGGAGGAACTTTGGGGAAGCTCCCATTTTTCTTCTCCGGATGGGTTGTGGAATCAGATTCCGAGTTCTATTGTGTGTGTACAGATCTGGATTTTCTCGAGACTATATGTGTCTGCCTTGAGCATTTGAATGCGTGTGTCCTTCCAGCAGTTTCCTAGAACTTTCAGCTCTCACTGTGTTTTTGCGGCATTTCAGTGGCAACTGGAGGATAGCCAGCAGAGCTATGAGAACTGATTCAGCATCTGGAACACTTGACTGGGACTGTGTGGGTAAGAAGAAACCTAGGTCACAACACAAGGATGGTCCAGGAGTGAGTGGCTTTGGACACTTACACTGGTCTGTGTTTTTAGTGTATCACATTTAGTGAATGCTGAGGTATGCCTTTCTAGAAAGTGAAAGATCTGCAGCTTATCTGGCTTTGAGTCAACGACTTCTTTCTTTGATTTTTTTTTTCCTTTTTCCTTTTTTGATGTAAGAGTTACTCTCACTCTGTTGCCCAGGCTGGTCTTGAACTAGCAAGCTCAAGCAATCCTCCCTGCCTCACGCTCCTGGGTAAGTGGGACTGTAGATGAGTACTACCATGTCTGGCTTTGGTCATCTGTTTCTGAGTTTTCTCTAGTTCCAGAGATGCCGAAGTCATGTACTGCATAGGCAGGCCACTTCTAGAATTGAGTCTTGTATGACAGAGTTGTTTAGTTATTTTTGATGCTAGGAACTAAGCCTAGGGCTTCGGGTATGCCTAGCAAGTAATTTACCATCACTCTATATCCCAGATACCTCCTCCCCCAGCCTCCTGAGGAGTTTGGAATTGCAGGCATGTGCCAGCAGGTCCAGTATGCTCAAGTCTCTATGAAAACTTACTTCTCTTAGGTGGTTAAGAGACTGGCCTCACTAACCTAACCGGTGTCTGTCTTACCTGATTATGAATAGCAGTTCTGATGTATGAATGAGAGGCCACTAATGCCACTTTACCATCCAGCTATCTTATAAAGTGTAAATTAAAATCGAACTATCTTATGGAGTCCTTTTATGCTAACGTATTATTAATGGCTTCATCCTGACATTTTTGAAGTTTAATAATGTCATTTGTTAAAGGATTTTGCTTGGGGATAGCATGGAGATTGTAATCAGCGTACCATCTTTTATTAGTGCGAACTCTGAGGGCAGCCATTTTGTTTTATCTAGCACAGCTCGACTCATTAATCTCTTTATTTCAGGTGCTCTGATCTGTTGTGGATGCAGTTAAATGCACTGCTAAAATGTTGTTTCAAAAAATCATGACACTCAGACAAGTATAGAATAAAGATGTGCCACTATTTTGCCAAGCTCTTGAATGAACCACTGAGATAATGAAGTTCATCTATCAGAGAAGAATAGGCCATGAATTATCTAGTTTATAGCAAGACTTTTTTTTTTTTCTAAATCCGAGATAAAATTGTTTAGTATGCAATGGGAAGCTGAAGCCATCACTTTTACAGTAATCTCTTCATGTTGTTTGTAATTCCACTATGAAAACTATAGCTGGGTCTGTGTGACATCGCAAAGATTCGCAAGTTTCTTTTTGCTACTTTTGGCTTTGGAGATGTTTGTGTAAATTGTAAAATGGCTATATCCAGATCGCTATTTCTCCTAGAACAAAGGCTACGTGGGCATGTAATTCTAGTGTGCAAGTATGTATTTATGCCTAAATTTATGTTAGACAATAAGTCCACACATAATTGTCTTTCCATAGTGAATCGTTAAAAAGAGAATATAGGAGCAGTTAAGAAAAACACTATGAATTTCCAAAACGATGCTGTGGGGGGTTGTCATCTAATGAGCACTTACACGGGCCACAGACAAGGTTATGGTGTTTATATGCATTGCAGTTTAGGCTGTAAATGGTCCTGTGAGGTGGGTACCATTATCTCATTTTGAAAATCAGATGAATAAGACTCTGTGAAGTTATACAATTTAATCAAGGTTCTGCAGCCTGCCTGAGCCAGCATTGAAATTTAGTCTGATTTTGAGTTTCATGTTCTCTCTGATACTCTGTTATATTTACCCCTCTAAATAGCCTTAAATTCCCCTAAATTTTAAAGTGCATGTCTGATAAGCATGCAGATGATGGGTCCCAATTTGCTTATATAATAGAGCATACATGAAGTGGTCTGTTTCCCATTTAAGAGGTTGACCGCTTGGAAACCACTTGAAGCAAGTTGGTTTTATGTTCCGTGATGGCTGGATTAACCATGTGTTTTAAGTATTGTGACCTTCCCAGTCACCTCCTGTGAGTTCCTTCTTGGTGACTTATTGTCTTTCTTTTCTCTCTTCTGGTCCCCAATGTGTCTGTAGGTGGGCTGGATCCTCTCCATCCTTGATGAGCTGCAGCTGAGCCCACAGCCTCCCGTTGGGGTGCTTCCCCTGGGGACCGGGAATGACCTGGCTCGGACACTCAACTGGGGAGGGGTAAGAACTGCAGGTGGCTGTCATCATGGAGGAGCAAACCACACCCCCAGATCACTCTGCTCATTGCTAGAAGCAGTAAGCTGCTGCTCTCCAGGGACAAATTAGACTCAGGACTCAAATTGCCTGTTTATTTGTAGCTTCTTCAGTTTAGGCTTAGAATCAGCGGGGGAGGGGAGGGGGAGGGGGCTATGAGACAAAGCCATGGCTGGTGCATAGATGGGATGATTGTTGAGCTATCCACCTGGACACGGTGGATGGGGTAGCCTCAGGTGCTCATGTGGAACAATCTTGCAAGTTTGCATTCATCCTGACCCTTAGCCCTGGCCATAATTGCAAACCTGATGGGTTTCAGACTGATCGTTTGAGACAGGTGCTACTTCTTTTGAACATGGAGATTTTCTGACCATTGTTATTACAGCTTTGGTGATACCAGTGTCCTACTGCCCTGCCAATGCTGGAGCATTCTCTGGAAGTTGTGAGGGAAGTTCCCTCCTGTCACCAACTGACTATTTTATGAGTGCATTTATCTTATTGTCCTAAGCTTTAGCAAGCCACATGATACTAATTTGCCTAGCCCAGGAACTGTTGGTAGTAAAGGCTGTTATGCATAGTAATTTTCCTTCAGGGATGCAGTCCCTGGTAAATAGCGCATGCTCCAAGTAACCCACATTCGTGCTCATCCAAGAAACTCTGATTAAACTCAGGCATGAAAATTGGAAAGGGGCTTGGGGAGAGGAAGGGGTCAGAGGGAATGAAAGGGGAGTAACAGAGGGTAGAGGGGAGTGGTGAGCACGATCACAATGCGAAATTGTGGGAGAATAAATTAAAATATTTTTTAAAGGTACTGACACATCCACTTGCCAGCTTCCGAAGCCCCTCTTAGTCAACCATTGCCTGGTCTCCCTTTCCTAGGACAGTGATCTTCAGATCCATGACAGACATTGATCCGGCCTGTAGCAGAATTAACCTTAAAGCAAGTTTTGTTGTTACATTTTGCTTTCCTTTTTTTTTTTTCTTTTTAAGTAGCTAGCATTTAAAAAAAAGAAAAAAAAGCACATTTACAGGAAACAACTAAACTAATAGTCAGTGTCTCCCACGCAAAGCCAGTGTGTGACTGCCTTGAGTAACTGTGCTGCCACTAGCAGCTCTCCAGGAAAGAGATGCTCTCATCAGCTTCTGAGGCTGGCTCGCCTGGGATCACAGACCGGATCACAGACGTAGCACTTGGTGAATAAGATAGGACCTTCAGTCTTCTTTTATGCTCCTCCCCTTTCCCACACACACACTTGGGTATGGCCCCAAATCCCTCCAGCAGAAGGCTGTTCACTCCAGTAAAAGCAGCCATCCCGCACATGCCCAGCGGTTCTTCGTGCCAGCAAGTTGTTCCTCAGCTCAGCGCAGGCCAAGCTAGCGCTTGCATGAGCGCCTTTTTAGCGTCATCTTTAATGTACATAGAGGGGGGAGATAGCTAGCTCTTGCAGCCTTTCTGTTTTAAAACCAGCAGGACTATGGCCGACTCCACATTGCCTTGGTGTGGCATTGAGTGTGTCTTTCTGGTCCAGTCAGCCATGGTCTGTGCTCTGATTCTGTCCTCAGGGCTACACTGATGAGCCTGTTTCTAAGATCCTGTGCCAGGTAGAAGATGGGACCATTGTACAGTTGGACCGCTGGAACCTCCACGTGGAGAGAAATCCAGACTTGCCGCCCGAAGAACTTGAAGATGGCGTGTGTAAGGTTAGACAGTTCTTCCTTTGGGGGCCTGAGAGGTAGCTTGGCAGTTAGGAGTGCTCACCGCTTCTGCGGAGGGCTGGAGCTCAGTTCCCAGCACTCCCGTTGGGTGGCTCACAGTTGTCTGGAATTCCAGCTCCAGGAGATCTGGCACCCTCTTCTGACCTCTGCATGTATGTTCAGTATGTTCACACACATGAATGCATACAAATAAGTAAAATAGTAATAAACACAGAGAGAGAGAGAGAGAGAGAGAGAGAGAGAGAGAGAGAGAGAGAGAGAGAAAGAGAAAGAGAGAGCCACCTGAGCATAAGGCCCGTTCCTTAAGACACACTCCTGGGCTCCTGCCCTTTAGAAGATGACAGGGTACCTTAGGTACTCTGACTCTTAAGGCTGTGGTTATACAGTCACCACCTCCCTCCCCAATCCGACCCCTCTCCACAGACCCTTCAGGATTTAGATATTATCTGTGTTCCATAGCTCAGGGACCTGTCCTCTGTCTTCAGCTCCACACGAGGAAGCATGTAAACAGTTGTTAATCTCTTGAGCTACATGCAAACAGTTTATGAGAAGATGGAATATTTGTCTGTCTTTAAGCATTAGGGACACAGCCTTTCAGTAGGTGGGGAACCTTAGACCTTGTTGGCATGACATCAAACAGTCCTTCTGTAGCCACTTGCCTTGTCTGCTTGGGACTTGAAGGGGCCTAAATACGTAGTCTTGGTGTTTCCTTTTGGTGACTGAGCTTTTATGGTAAAAAATACAACCTAACCCAAACCGAGGCCGTCACTGTAAATAAACTACTGTGCAGCCTCATTTCAGTACCATAATCTAAGTTCTGATCTGAGTCTGTGATTAACCTGGTGTAGGACTGTGTAGAGATACCCTCCAGGTAACTTCTCCCTTTCCTTGTATGATACTGTGCCCGCCATTTTGCAGGCTTGAGTGTCCTGGTACACTAGTTAGCATGAAGAGTGGAGTGTGTCTCTCTCCAGAGATTTGGAGTAAGTTCACGTAGGGTTAAGGCCCCCACAGCATCTGCACTTCAAGTAACATCCTTGCTAGTTTGGATTCATCCACTGAGCTCAAGTTTATTGTTCACCACAGTCCTGGACAATTATTTTAGACACACAAGTGTTTTCCTTGGCTTAAATATCTCTCCTTATCTCCAGTGTTTTTTCACCTCAACTTTACTCCTGAAATTAATAAATATTAGACATCAGGATTACTCACTTGAAGTTGAGTTCCCAATTGAACAATGTTTAAACATAAACATATGTGATACTTTTAACTGTGTATTTGAGTTAATTGAGTTGGATAGGAAACCACCAGTGTAGAAGGGGGGGGGGCTTCTACTGAAATGGAAAATTTCAGGCCCTTTTGCTAAATGTGGACTGGCTAGGCCTACAATTTAACTCTTTTCCCAAAGCTTGAGAAATGGAAAGACTTTTTGATGCAGCCAGAGAATGTCAATCCAGATAATTAGAGGGCATTGGGAATGGAGTTTGGGGATCTGTAGAAAATTGGGGCACATTTTCCTGGAAAATGTGAATACCTTAAAAACAAACTAAATTGGAATATTACTTAGGGAATTGTGACCAGATGTTTTCCTTAGCTATCAGTGGCTGCTAAGACACGGGTTAGAATTGTAGCCAAAGTAATATAAATGGTAGAACGTTCCTGTGCTTTTGGCACGATCACCGTGCTGTCCTTACAGGGGCTGGGGTTTTGTTTAAGTGCAGGGACTGGACATTCTCAAATACGAAGCCAGAAGAGTTGGACATGGTTTTGGCATTGCCGTGTAGCTTGAGTTTCTCTCTATTCTGTGTTTTGTTGAAACCAATTCTAAGGGCGGATGTAACCCCCTGACCCATCAAGGATCATTCTCAGGGGCTTCAATGTGGGGTCCCACTTTGTTTTCATTAGAGACAGACATCAAGGCTGTCCTCCTCTGCCCTCTTATAATGGGACATTCTCCCGTCAGCTTACCAAGAAATCTTCCTGATCTTAAGAAGTATGTGACACATGCTAACGAATGACTTTGAAACTTTAAAGGTTTCAACACTTATTTCTAATAACAAAAGGGTGCAATTCAACTTAGAACATAAATCTGGTAATTATCTAGGGACATTGATTCTTTTAATTTAGTATTTATCTTGCATTCTGAGCCATGGGAAGAAATGTGGGGGAATTATCCTTTCCTTTATTGTACTTTCTATGTGCTTTCCTGGTTGTTATAATATTGAACTGGAGCGTTTAGATGACATCATGTTTGTAATTTCTGTCGGGGCTCTCAGCCTTCACGGCGTTCCTTCTGCTAGCTCCCAAGGGACTCAGAGCATGGGAGAAAAGGAACTTATGTGTGCTCTGTATGGTTATGGTTGTCATATTAAAGGTACAGGGTTAATCAATAAGTGGGAATCTGGATTACATCTTTATATATTTCTTGTGTGTGTGTGTGTGTGTGTATGTGTGTGTGTGTGTGTGTGTGTGTGTGTGTGTGTGTGTGTGTCTATTTTCTTTTTCTATCAGCAATGGCTGATACAAATCAAATGGCCGTCACTGTTTTATTTTCTTATATTGGGGTTTGTTAAAACAAAGCAAACAAAAAAACTTTACAAATAGATTATATGTAAATTGTTTATTTCAGGCTGCAGTATTTGTGTGTTGAGTATAAAACTCTTAAAAAAGGTACTGATTGGGGAAATTAGACTGGATCTGGTAATTGAGTATATTCTCTAAATTCATGGAATCAGTCTCTCTTTGTAGTGAGATTGTTATTAAATGTTATTGTACCATGTACAAGAATGACTATTACTTAGTCATTTTTGTGCCCTTTATTTCCTTTATGATTTGTGAGATTTCTTGATTTGAGCTTCCACTAACAAGTTAGTTCAAGGGCCCCTTAATCTTGTCCACAAACACGCTCTATGGTGAGATTTGACTGATCTGTGTCCCACAGGCTGCTCCAGAGATAGGGTCTGGTGTTGGGTCTAGGTTGCTCTAGTTGGCTGCAAACAATGTCACCTTCACATTTGTCCATTCTTGCAGCTTCCTCTGAATGTCTTCAATAATTACTTCAGCCTTGGATTTGATGCTCATGTCACCCTGGAGTTCCATGAATCTCGAGGTGAGGACATGTCCCATTTCTGTCTCTCTGGGTGGGTGGGGGAGTTCTACATGTTCCCCTTTGCAAGCATATCACCTACATGCCTGCATTATGCTCCCCTCTTGTTCACCTTCATGATGGCCCTGGGAGCTGGACTAGATGGGAACTTGCTATAAAAAGAGACCAAAGATCTAGCTGTCTGTAAGCTCAAGGGCAGGGACAGAGGTCCATTCCAAGTCTTGGAAATCTTTACGTTTGACTCTTATACTGTGTGGTGAGGACCAAAACCAGGACTTTGCACTTGGTAGGCAAGTTCTTTGCCATTAAGGTACCTCCCCAGGCTTGAGTGGAAATTCTGAAAGAGACAAAATTCTTAGGTAAAGATTCCTTTACTAATTAGGATGCACTTAGCCTCACAAGCCAGCAATATTAAAGTTTCATACTGCAGATCCAGAGCCTTTGAAATGTGATAGGAACGATGAAAGGGAAAGAAGCAGGCATTTTGACACACCAGAGGGGCGAAAGGAGTGTGATGGTAGTTAGGAAGGTTCTGGGATGAGATGTGGGAGCAACCAAGACTCTGGAAGAACAAGTTTTGAGAGTGAGTAAGATGACTTGGCAGCTGATGGCTGCTGCGGGAGGGAGAGTACTTTCTTTGGGGTTGTGGTCGCTGGTAGGTTGGACAAGGCGCAGTGGAAAGTCCCACAGCCATGTCAGCACTAATGACTAATGGGACCCACATAAAACTGAGAGAAGATGAGCAACGTGCTGGCAGGGCCTAGGGAGTGTAAAAGTGGGGATTTGGGGGCGGTCGTGGCCAAGATATATTGTATACACATGGAATTTTCAAAGGATAAAAACACTTTTAAAGTGAAAACAATATTATATATCATAGAAAAATAAATTCAGATATTTAGGAGAAAAGGGTGAATTAGTAAAGTATTTCATCTGAGTTTTCTTAGCCATTCAGAACTGAGAAAATTTAGGATATAGGTTGGTCAAAAATCTCTTTCTGCCCCTTCCCTCCCTCCTTTCCTCCTTTGTATTCTGTCTATAGGTGTATTCTCTATGCCTCTGCCTTTGTCCTTGATCTACCGCTCTGTTGGTACCTAGTTCCCTATGAATGTGTTTAGATGAGACATAGTTATGCAAGGTCTGAAGACTGGGAGATGAAAGGCAAAGTTGTTGGTGAGGAACTGTCTCTTTCCTTTCGGGAGGCTTTGCAGGGCTCAAGCAGTTTCAAAACCCCAGACTTGAAACACAGAGTGCTGAAAACCAGAATCCCAAACTTGAGGTTGTGGTGATCAGGCAAAGAAAAATATTACTCTTACATCCATAGCGGAGCGCTAGGGTTCAGATTATTAGAATTCAAAATTCAGCTGAAGCACAGATCTGTGAAGCCCTAACTGGGTCCAGCAAGTCTGGTCCTTCGGGCGCCATGAAGGGTGTGAAGAGAGTCTTGGAGTTGAATTCTGCATTACGGAAGAACACCAGTACCAGATGCAGAGGGGACTGTTGTTGTGCCTCCTTTCTGAAAAGCTAGACAATCACAGGCAGAGCAGATGGATCATAAAAGAACCTTAAATGTTCCAAATCGGAAATGCCCCCAAGCTGGCACATTCCTACCACAGCCTAGTCATGGGAAAGAGTTATTCAAGGGGCCTATGGAGGCCTCTGTGACATGTTTTTCTTTCTGTGTGTAAAGAGAGTTCATTTGGCCAGTGAGCTGTAAGAAGTTTTTGGTTCCTAGTGTATTTCTCCTTATTTCCTTGTCTTTGAGGTCTTATGCATTGGGACTCCTTAATAAGATTTCTGAGTTTCTGTAAAGCAATACAATATCACAAATACAAGAATTTCCAAAAATAGGCATCTCGGTATGAAAAGAGGCCTCATTGAGTAAGTGGGCCTGAGTGAGCTCACTCAAGAGAACCTGATTTGGGGCATAATAATTCTGAAAGTTGTTCTAATGATGTACACCTTTGTACTAAGAAGGAATTTTTATGCATCAGAATGAGACCACAGAGAGACACCACAATACAAAAGGAATGTGGTTTACAAAATAATTTTAGGGAAGGAGACAAATTGACTAACACATGCCAAATTCCAAACATTAACCTCGGAAGTTTATGGCTAAGGCTTAGTGTTTTATTTTATTATTTAATATTGGTACTTATTCTTTGACAGTCAGCTTCATGCACATATGTACATACTAATCATATGTACCCTCTCTCGCCTCCTGGACCACTCACGCCCATGACATATTCACCAACGCTCCTTTTATCTGGGCTTTCCCTGCTTACCAACTGAGTCTGATGAGTACAGCCCATGTGCACATGAGTGTGGGGGCCATCCATGGACGTGTGGACAAATTTTCCTGGGGCATACTTCCAAAGAAGATTCGCTTTTCCTTTTTTAGCTGCCAATAGCTCCTCAGAGAGGGTTGGGGATATCGAGAGCTCCTCCACCTGTTTGCAATTTGCGGCTTCAAGACAAAAGTTGTGTAATATGCTGCAAAATACCTTAAGGTTGACTCAAAGTCTCACGAGAGCCATTGTGAAAAAAAAAAATGGATTGAATAATGTCACGAAAGGATGTTACTCTAAATAGGAAGTATGCCAACCCATCTACATGTCATGAATAACAAATACCGATTGCACAAAGGCAGAATTAAAAATGTAACCTTAGAGTGAAATTCTGGCATAGATGGGAAACATCCCATCAGATGGACAGTTCTTAGCATAGCTACTTATATACTATTTCTTTTGGAAGGGACAATTAAAGTCACGTTAATTTGGGGACAGTGTATTAGGATTGTTGCTATGCACATGGTTTTAGAATTAGTTGAAAGGCAGGCAGGGAGCAGGGGCAGTCATAGTTTTGTTTGACTTTGTAGATAAAGAGGGTAAATGTAAGAGCTGAGTCTTTATATTTGGTGGATTGAAAGTATGGCTCACTTGGTTGGAAGTAGAGTACTGGTTCTTCCCAAAGTGGCTGGTGCATTCCTGGGTGAGCTCTTGCTGCTCATGCATCAGAAAGTAAGTGTTTGGGAGAGGATTTGGAGATGTCACGGGGTTGGTCGTGGCATTGTCACTTGAAGTATTGCCCAGTACTTTTGTCGGTGCTGTGGTATCGATTACAGCTGTGAGTGATGAACTCGGGTCTCGCTTTACCAGCTGTGAGAATGAGACTGTCACTCTCTGGACTTGGATATTAGACGCATCAAACTTTTAGTTGGACATCAACTGCTTCCCTATTGCTGCCTCATGGGAATTACGATTTGGAGTAGCTGAATCTTATGCACAAGGTCAGGAAATATGCTTTCACTAAATATACAAAGGCATGCAGATAGTGTGACTCCAAGGACTGTGACCTCCATGATTCAAACTACAGAAAGGGCATTTCCTTAAGCGGCTCTTATGTGTGCTGCTTGCTAAATCCCATCCTTGCTGAAGACAGTGCCGAGACTCACTGCATCCCACTGGTTGAGGCACTAAAGCTTAGGCATCTTGTCCTAGAAAAGTCCTCACCGTCTCATTACCTCCGTCTTGAATGTCTGTGTGGAATCCACTCATCATTTCAGGGTTAGCCTGTGACATGTGGTCATTATACTACTACACAGGCAGAAGACTTGATTGAAGCACATTGAGTGTCTATGTGACTAGATTCGATCAACCTTAACCCTAACTGCCTGGGACGACAAATATTTTAAAAGAAAAAAAAAAAAAATCAGGTACACCTAAAGGTGGGTGGGTACAGTGATCCAGGTGCATGTCAAGACACTTCCAGTGATGCCTTATCTTTCATTTTCAGACCAGCCTGCCCCCTTACTTATTTATTTATTACCAGCTCACAGTCCAGTGCTATCAGCAAGTGTTTGCTACAGTACCGGAATGGTCCATTGGAGGATAAGCCCAGTGATTTTAAAAAAGGAGTATTATTATAGATGAGTTGTACAAACAGTAAGCAATACAGGTGTTCAGCAAGATTGGGGGTAGGGGTGGAAGAAGTTTCCAGAAAGGATAGTATGTGTGGGAGATAAGGGAGAAACGTGATAATAGGTAAGAATTGATGCAGGTGAAATCATGTCAGGCAGGAAGGAAAGTACAGAGGAGCACACCCGTTTGTCCTCAGGATGAGGTAGATGAAAAGTGAATGCACAAAGAATGGCTTTTCCATAGCGATCGAAAAGTAATATTGGTAAAAAGCGACATTTTAAAAGGCAAAGGTCATTTAAAAATGTCCTTAGTGGGAATTGATATTGAAAAGAAGGATTTTTTTTTTTTTTAGTATGTAAAATCTGAGTTAAAGGTGGTCATGTAACTGTATGTACAGATTAGGGCATGCTGTTTTGGATTCCTGGAGTAGAATAAAATAGAAAAGATGCAAGAGTGCAGTGCTGTGGGACACACTTTCTGGGCATGAGTGCTCACTGCATTCTTGAGGCATGGCAGCTCTGATATTCTATGCAAGACCAGCACCAGACTGAGCCCATCAGAGCCTGTTAGGGAGAGCAGAGAGACTTAGAAGTCTCTGCCCCTTCCCGAGGCAATTAATGGTTGCTGAGGGAGGGGGAGACATTTTCTTCACTGGTGTAACCATTGGTAAGGTGTTCAGAGTGCTATACACAAATCTTCACTCCTGATCCTGTAAGAAACACTAGTAAAACTCAAGCGCTCTCTCTCTCTCTCTCTCTCTCTCTCTCTCTCTCTGACACACACACACACACCTTTAAGAAAAAGATAGTCATACAGATGGAAGACGGATTAGTTGGGAAGAGGAATGTTCAGTGGGAGGAGAACATGGTAATGGAGGGTGAGTATGATCAAAATACATCACACACACATATGAACATGTCATAACGAAACTATTTTTTATCTATAACTAATAATAATAAAAACATAAAAATTTAAAAAAAATTGAGTGAGCATCCAATTGAGAAAGTATGGGAGATATGTGAGTTACATGGGATGCTTATATATATCTAATATTTTGTGAATGTGCTGTAATACTTACCCTTGCAA